CATTCCATTTTCCCTGAAAAAACCCAATTATTACAAATGAGAAAGCTTTGGGAAAACGATTAATACCTGTTTTCCGAAAATAATGACACGGGTTATGCCCCCGTTTCCCAGCGGAAAATACACTAATCCATTCAATCGACCCGCGTTCGATTCACCACAGACGCTTTTTTTTTACACTTTTTCCTACGAACTCCTACGCTGCCGTTTTGCCCTCCTAATCAACCCTAGAGACTAACTTCGGCCGCTCATCTTCCTCTTCTCCCTCCAGCCCACTTCGGCCGCTCAACTTCGGCCTCTCCTCCAACTTCGTTCCACACCCCGCCGCTCATCTTCCTCTTCTCCCTCCAGCGCACTTCGGCCACTCAACTTCGGCCTCTCCTCCCACTTCGTTCCACACCCCGCCGCCGATCTTCCTCTCCCTCCAGCTTTGCTGCCGCCGATCTTCCTCTCTCCTCCAGCGACCCGTAAGAAGTAGAAGCAGCAGCCGGCGCCCCGACTTCCTCCAACAGAGAGCTCCAGCCGCGATTCCTCCAACAGAGAGCTCCAGCCGCCGATTCCAGGTACTTACTCTCCTTGCCAGCGACCAATCCATGCTTGCTTGTGATGATGAATTGGAGTGGTTTGGTAATGTTTTGTGAACAATGGACAGATTTGTTGCTTTATTGTTTTGATTGCAAATGATGTCTTCTTTTGTTTTGTTTGATGTCTATTTGTTGGTGATATCTTATTTCGTATTGAATTGTAGCGTGATAAGCTATGGCTGATATTGATGTCGTAAACAATAATGATTGTGTCATACTTGAGGGAGCCGAGGTTTGGCCTGATAAAGTAGTCGAGTATTTTATTGCTTTGATGCTCAAGGAAGTAAAGAAGGGGAACAAACATACGACAACTTTCACTAAATTGGGATGGTCCAACATTGTAAATGGGTTGAAGATAAAGTTCAACAAGGACTATGCCCCAGATCAGTTGAAGAATAAATTTAATTTGATGAGGAGGAAACACCGGGAATTCAAGGACTTAATCAGCCAGACTGGAATTAGTTACTCTTCTGTAACATGAAGGATTGCTGCCTCTGATGAGCAGTGGAAGGTGTGGAACGAGGTAATTGACATTTTTAGTCATTGTGATTGAATTGAAAGTAGTATTTAGGAAAGAGGAATTGATTAGAATGTTGCATTTGCAGCGATACAAGATGATGGGGACTATTAGGAAGCATGGATGTCCAGAGTATGAAAACCTGTGCATATTATTTGGTGATACAACTGCCTCTGGTGCGAATGCTGTTGCTTCTACTCACCAGGTCTCAGATAGTAGTGGTGGACCTAGCAAATCAAATGATGTGGATCTTGATGGTGAAGAAAATGTGGGTGGAGTCTCTGGTTGTGCCAAGGAGACATTGCCCAAAGTGAAGGGTAAAGGAAAGAAGAGAAAAGCAGCTAAATCTGGCTTTACCAATGCAGTGGAGAATGCCATAATCAGCATGGCTGAAGACTCCAAAAGGAAGAGTGAGAGGCGTGAAGCCAAGGAGGCCGCCTCTTCGGTTGGAGGACCTGTGCATGATGTATCTTCACAGGATAAAGAGCTTGACATTATGACTGAATGCATGAATTTATTAGATGAAATGGAGGTGGAGGCTAATGTATTTGTGAAGGCTTTCGATGTTCTACATGATTGTCCACTGAAGAGAGGACTTTTCTTGCGTATGACAGAGAGGAGAAGGAAATAATGGTTGTTGAGTTTAGTGTGACTATGAGTGTTTGTTGAGAACTGCAGTGACATTTGTTTGTTGAGTGTTTGATGAGTTCTTACTGTGATGTTTTTATGAATAGCATGATGTTTGATGACTTTTAATATTATGTTTTCTTATTGTAAGAATCTTATGAACTAAGTTGTAATTGAATGTTTGAGTGTTATATCACTTGTATTTGGGTTATTATCCATTTCTAATGAAGTTCTTATGCATTGCAGAACTTATGAATTTAGATTCAGATTCATATTCCGATGAAGAGTTGAAATTCATAATGCTTGTGGCTTTGTTGGAGAATGAGCGATCTAAGTCTATTAGGATGCCATGTAGAACCTCAGTGCAAACAAGACATGCTTGGGTTCAAGAAATTCTCCGTGGGCATCCGATTAGGATATATGAATCACTCCGAATGGATAAAGAAATTTTCTTTGCTTTGTGTGAGGAATTGAAGCAACATGGTGGGTTGAATGATACAACTAATGTGATGGTCGTAGAACAAGTTGCAATCTTCCTCAAGACTATAGGTCACGCAAATGACTTATGCGACCTTGCAGAACGGTTTCAACATTCTACTGCAACCATCTCAAAGTACTTTAATCTAGTGTTGAAAGCAGTGGTGAAACTTGCAAACAGGGTCATTGTTCCCCCAAATTTGGCAATTGTTCCCGAAAGAATAACTGATTCAAAACATGATCCATATTTCAAGGTAAGCAATTCTCTTACTCACATGAATTCAGGATTGCATCGGAGCAATAGACGGAGTTCATATTGACGCAGTGGTTCCGAGTGGTGAGCAGATTCCATATCGAGGACGGAAGACGACTACTACTCAGAATTTAATGGTTGTTTGTTCTTTCGATATGCTCTTTACCTTTGTGATGGATGGATGGGAGGGTACAGCAAATGATGCAAGAATTCTTACTGAAACAGTTTCCAACCCATCTAACAACTTTCCCATGCCACCGCGAGGTACGAAATGATTGTCTCTTTATTTTAGTAATTATAGTACACATTTCATAGGACTAATTGATTTTATATCTTATAGGTAAGTATTATGTTGTTGATTCTGGATATGCAAACATTCCTGGGTTTCTAGCGCCATATAAGACAAAAGAAGCACGTCATTTTCAAGATATCGATCGTGGAGGTGGACCAAAGACTCGTAAACAACTTTTTAACTATTATCATTCATCTCTATGCAATGTTATCGAGCGTTGTTTTGGAGTTTTGAATGCTAGATTTCCCATTTTGAAGCATATGCCTCCTTTCGCTCTCAAGAAACAAGCACACATTGTTCTTGCATGTTGTGTTATACATAACTTTATTAGGATCCACTCTGGTGACGACACTCTGTTTGAAGGTGCTCAAAATTATTGCACGGGGGAGAATGCCAATGGAGTGCAAGGAGGACAAGAACGAGAAGCATATAATCATAGTTCAAGCCAAACTCGAGCGATGGATGCACGACGAGATGGAATAGCAAACAAGTTGTGGGATGACTTTCAAGCTGGACTTATTTGAATTTTTATGTTGTACTAGTACTTAATTAATATAAGATGTTGTACTTGTATTGTGTTTATTTGTAGTTTAAAAACTATTTAATTCGAATTAAAAATTATAATCATGGCTAGGGTTGTATGATAATCAAGAATCAGAAAACAAAATGAAGCAACTAAACAGGTTTTCTTTTCAGAACTCAGTTTCAGAACTCACCAAAATTCTCAGCTAAACAAGGTTTTTTCAGGTTTTGTTTTCCAGGAAATGGTCAGCTTCGTTTTCATTTTAATTTTATTTTCTGTTGTGGCAGCTAACAGAAATGGAATGGCAAGTAAACGGCCCATAACCTTTCAGGATCAATTATGGTTTGGTTGTAAAATTTTGGTTGCAAAAACTACTTTTTCTTGTAGTGAAAGATTAGTGGATGGGACCCACCTTAATGAACTATTGCCCTTGGAGTTGGGTTATTTACGGGTTTACCGCTTAATGAATAGTAAACTTAGAACTATGCTTTTTATCTTAGAATTAGTATTAGAATATTCAAATCCAAGTAGACCCGTTGATAATGGGTAGGGTATTAGTGAAATATATATGGGTTTTAAGGTTTGTAGATGGTTTTGGATAAGGTATGGATATTGTTTCCATAATCTAATTAATGGGTGGTTGGGTATGAATACACCATTTATTTGAGGATTTTTTAACTACACATATAAAAATTGGACTATTTGTAAACTTAAAAAGTTAGGTATCAGAATGTAAAACCAAAAAAAGATAGATACCAAAATGTAATTTTCCATCGATATTTAGAGGAATTATATTCAAAAAATGTATTTTAGAAACGAACGGATCGCTTCAATCATAGACTCATCCACAATGTCCCACCAAGAGTTGAAGAATTTTTCTGTAATACCATCAGACCCTGGTGTCTGCTTAGATCCCACTGAGTACACCATTTTACGAACTTCACTAGAAAGGACTTCCACCGTAATGCATACATTCGTTTCATATGTTACTTCACGAGGGATTGGAATATCTGCAACCCCGAACTTCCATATTCATCACTTGATTCTCCAAGGTGAATTTTTTTTTATAAAGTTCATAGATCCTACAAACAGGATCCTCGGTTCGAAAACACAACAAACCTAAATTGTGAGTTTGCGCAGGCTGGGAGAACCCATGATCAAACAATCTGTAGATCTATTAAATTTATGTACCAAACTATAATTTGCATTTGGGCATGAGTAAAAACCAAATCCATGTATAAAAACCCAATTCAACCCAAATAAATGTGTATGAATATAAACTCATCAAACTCTACCCATTTACCATCTATTTAGATTTCATACCTGATCCAATTGGGTTGAATAGTAAAATACTCATGGTATGAGCAAAATTGCCAATGTAATATATCAAGAGGCTGTTGTATGACTTGCTTTGGTTAATGAATATTCCTGAACGTTTTCCTAAACAAAATATCAATGTTTTCTACATCTCAATTAGTGGAGGAAAAGGAAGGGGGATCTTAGTTGTGCGTAGTAGTAGAGCATGACTCAATCAGTCTCATCTTTAGAGCATGACTCAATCAGTCTCATCTTTCTTCTCTGATCTGTGGAACTGCAACCTCATTTTGCGACAGCCACCAGTTGCTTCCTACACAGTCGCCCTCCTCCAAGCGATGATGGAGATGAAAGAATTATGCCGTTCTCCTCTTACTCTCCCGCGGTCTTTCTCCACCAACTTTCATTTTGCGATCTCGGTTTGTGATTCTATATTTGCAATTTTGGATTTTGGTTTCTTGGTTTGCGAAAGTGGGTTTTGGGTAGCAATTCTGGTGAAACGCAAATCATCACTCAGCTGTAGAAGCTCTTACCAAAACTTCTTGTCCGCAAACCTTCCATTTCGCCGTCAATTTTGCCTACTTGCATCATTCATAGGTTGGTCAAGCAAGCACGAGTAGTTAACAAAGATCATCAAGCTGCATATAAAACAGAACTAAATTTACAAAGCAGCTACCCACATAAAATCTATAAGACTCCTATAAAGCTTCGAGAAAGAAGTTTCCTACCCGCCACCCGGTTTACTATGAACAAAGAAAGTAGCTCCAAAACTAGCTACGGCTGCACTCTATCAAAACCATCCCACTCCCACTCCATCCCAATAAAACATAGGATCCAAAAAAGAATACATTCAACTGAATCGAATCCTGAAAGTAGAAGCATTACACCCTTACTCAATCAATCCACTCCTACATACTAGAAACATTACACCCTTAATCAATCGACTCCTACATACTATCAATGTCGTGTCCGCACAGTCACAGTCGTCCTGAAACGAGAGATAAACAGCCTAAGCTGTATAAAATAAGAGGGATTAACTTGCACGTTGCACCCTAAACCACCAATTGACTTAACTTCCAACCAAAAGACGTATCTTATATAGGGTAATCTCAACAGTCATCTTGAACCAGCCCCCGAACCTTCCTAAGCTGCACAAAAGCTAAGATGCACATGCACTGCAGTCTGCAGCAAACATTTGCAGTCCACATTCTTACTAACAGACAATTCCCCACAAACACAACAGCCCCATACAAAGAACCATATAGCAGGCACAAATCCTGGCAATCAACAATCAAGACCCAGTTAAGAACATCGCATTTTCAAGCGTTTGGCTCAAACAATCATCTAGTACTCAACACCACCATTCACATAAGCGATCAGATCATTTAACAATATAACAGAATGGATGTTTTGCACATCACAGATCTAAACCATCAAAATCACTCATTCCAGCCATGTACCACTTGTGCTGTATAAAAGCAGAGGATTAACTTCCACCCTAAACCCCCTAGTGACTTAACTTCCAACCAAAAGAGTGTCATCTAGGGGCAACAGTCAACTTGAACCAGCCTTAGAAGCTCTGCAGCAAACATTTGCAATCGACATTCCTAATAACAGACAATTCCCCACCAACACAAAAGCCCCATACAAAGAACCATATATGAGCAGAAATTCTGGCAATCAACAATCAAGACCCAGTTAAGCACGCCACGTTAAGGGCTTGGCTCAAAAATTCATCATCTAGTACACATCACCACCACATTCACATAACCGATCAGACGACTCACAATATAACAAAATTCATGTTATCACAGATCCAATCCATCAAAATCCAACAATTGATTAACATCATCCATCACAGAGGAAAGATAAAACTTTAAACCCTAAGAGATTCCAAAACTTCAAAAAGACATTAAATTATCCAGAATTCTCTCAAAACAAGCTACAGATGATAAGCCCTAATCAGAACCTGCAGCCTTGTTGTAGACATAAGTCATGCCACACTTGCCACAGTAGTGCCTGTCGAAGTGATTCGCCATAAACGTACCCGCACCGCACTCGGCGTTGGGGCACTCCTTCCTGAGCCTCTGGACCTTGCCGGAGTCCTCGACCTTGTAGAACTGGAGCACGGCGAGCTTGACCTTCTTCTTCTTGTGCTTGATCTTCTTGGGCTTGGTGTAGGTCTTCTTCTTCCTCTTCTTAGCGCCACCACGGAGGCGGAGGACCAGATGGAGGGTGGACTCCTTCTGGATGTTGTAGTCGGCGAGGGTGCGGCCGTCCTCCAGCTGCTTCCCCGCGAAGATGAGGCGCTGCTGGTCCGGCGGGATGCCTTCCTTGTCCTGAATCTTGGCCTTCACATTGTCGATCGTGTCCGAGGACTCGACCTCGAGGGTGATGGTTTTCCCGGTTAGGGTTTTCACAAAGATCTGCATTGTTGCAGAATCGAGAGAGAGCGCGCTCCGGCCGCCAAGGGGAAAAGGGTTTTTGCGTGGCTGCAAAATGTGGGATAAGAGAGATTTATATATAGGGGTTGATTTCTTAAATGGTCACTAAACTTATCTCGGAAAAAAGCATCATAGAACTTTGTGAAGTATTGAATTGGCCTCTTGCAGTTTGTTAAATCATACAAAACTGCCACTTCTCATAACACCCGTCCAATTTTCTATTTCATCAGCCAGTTAGGGGAGCCGTTCCCATAAGTAATGTACCGGTGAGTAACGGACTAACGGTTAGTAACCAGTTGATTCGTTGTCCATTGCAATTCATTGATGACCGTCAGATATGGAATATCAAATACACGTAGGGATGGCAATGGGGCGGGTTTGCTTAAACCATCCCCATACCCATCTTCAAATACTCAAACCCATGCCCGCCCCATACTCATGCGGGGGAATGTTTTGCAAACCCATCCCCATACCCGTGGGTTTCGGGTACCCATGGGTAATACCCATACCCGTACATCCAACATTATTATACCTAAAACTTACAAGAAAAGTTCTACTTATAATTCTAAACGAACATATTATATCATGAAGTCAATAAAACACGGTCATTTTTTTAATATGGTTCAAAGATTATGATCCTAAAATATCCATTAATACATAATATAGAGTATAATATTTTTCAAATTATTATGTTCTAACTCTGATACATCTACTAAGTAATAATTAACTAACATAATCTTGTTGACAAGGGGGAAAGTGAAAGAGTGAAATGAGGATTGAGAGAAATGAATTAGATTTTGATTAAGGTGGTCAATCAATTGCATTTCTACTATTTATTTTTCTCAAGTTATCCTCATCATCATTGATAGATTATAATTTGATGCACATATATTTTTATATATGAAGAAATTATCTTGGTGGGGCGGGTATGGGGATGGGTATGGAGCGGGGGAGGCTAAAACCATACCCACCCCATACCCATCAAACTTTTTGCGGGTTTTACCCATACCCGCCCCATACCCGGTCAAAGCGGGGATTCCCCGCGTTGACTGGGTCGGGGCCGGTCGGATACCCGCGGCCATGGGTTTGATTGCCATCCCTAAATACACGTAGAGGTAAAATAGTAATTGGACAACCCTTCTGACAATTTGAAAAAGGAAAACGCGAGTCTTCCCCGCCATCATTATCGCCAACTCTGCAAAAACAAAAACACCATAGACGGTTCGCGTTCTATCTCTGATTTTTGCTCTGCATTTACGCTATCCATTCTCTCTCTCTCTCTCTCTCTCTCTCTCTCTCTCATTTCATCTTCGCAAACAGCATACTCGAATTTTCAAAACGATAGCAAAGGATACTGATCTCAGTTCTTCAGCGATCAAGTGAGGGTTTCCAACTTCGACGTCTTCAGCGACAAAGTTAGGGTTTTCAACTTCGACGTCTTCAACGATCAAGGTAAATCATCACTTCTTTCTTCAAAAACTAGATTCGTGATTCTGATTGTCTAATTTCAAGTACAGACTTCACATTTCACCACTAGATTTTTGTTCTTACACAACGTTAACCATACTGTTTTGAAGATATGATCAAAAAACCAAACAAAAAACTCTACTATGCTTTAATTTTTTTACAATACCACACCGGTACCATGTGGCATTCTAAGGAAAAACAGTTCTAGTAGTGGTCAAAGTACTTACAGTGAAATACATTTTATAGAAAAGTATATAAACAACAAAAAAACCTATTCTATGCTCTGATTTTTTTACAATACCACACTGGTACCATATGGTATTCTAAGGAGAAATCGTTCCAGTAGTGGTCAAAGTACTTAGAGTGAATTTTTTTTTATAGAAAAGTATAAAAACGACAAAAAAACCTATTATATGCTCAGCTTTTCTTACAATACCACACTGGTACCACATGGTATTCTAAGGAGAAACCGTCCGTAGTGGTCAAAGTACTTATAGTTATATACATTTTCTAGAAAAGTATAAAAACGACAAAAAAAACCTATTATATGCACTGATTTTTTACAATACCACACTAGTACCATATGGTAACTATATAGTATTGCAGTTATTCCACAAAAAAGGTTGTTATGCTTCTATTTACCATAATACCATAGGGTATGGTGAGGTAAGATCACTTGAAAACCTGTTCAACAACCTTTGATGTGTTGTACGCTATATTGCTTACTGGTAGGATATGGTATAATATGGTATGGTATGGAATGGTATGATATGATATAACAAATCTTCTATTATGGATTCCAGTACATCATGTCAAAATCAATGGACGATTTTCGCACAAGGTGCAGCCCAACAAGAATCAACACACTGTCAAGGGCATTAACAGCTGAACAAAGGAACAAATTGTAGGAATTAGGCCTTGATGGCTTAACATCCATCACCAAACAAAGATAAACAAAAACTTTGCTCTATTCACAATGAGCAAGTACAATCCAACAAAGCAATCATTCAAGCTGCCAGATGGAAACTACATGAAGATATCTCCAATAGACTTTCATAGAGTTTATGGTCTACCAATGGGTAAAAAGGAAGTGACGCTCAAGAAATTATCAGTGGAAGAAGCAGTAGACTATGCGCTGCAGGTCCTACTAGAACTAGAACTTCCAGCTTCAAATGCAATGGTGAAATTACTTAACGTAGAGCATGACGTTTCTAATGTTCATACCATTGAGTTATGGATCAAACTTTTTTGGTTGCTGGTTACGGGAGGTCTACTGTCCCCATTTTCAAACCCTGTCGCTGAGTTGAATGTGCTGGAGTACTTGCAGCCAAACAAAATCAAGCATTTCAAAGAATATAATTGGTGCAAGTTCTTCTTCGACTACATGAATGAGGGGTTGAAATCAAGAAAGTTGTACGTCAATGCAGATATTCATTTCTTAACAGTAAGTATCTATACCCTCAAGAATTTCATTTCAATTAGTATACCCAAAAGCATTACAAATCCTAGTACATCAAAACTAATACAAGTGTTTCTCCTTTCCACAAACAAATAAAAGGTATGCTTCATGTACAAGTTGGATGAAATTGCCTTCTTTACCCAGTTTTAAATCCCAACAACAAGCTATTACGATGACCTTATTGTGCAAAGAAACTATGAAAACATAGTCAGCTACTACAGTGGAGAAGCACTTAATGAGCTAATGAAGATACAGGATAAAGAAGACAAGATCGGTGGCACCAACAGTGATGATGATGACAACAACACATACCAACAACCATCAACATCACTCATATTTGATTTGAAGATGATCAAGACTATTCCCCAAGTAAGTATAAATTACCATATGTTACAAATTGTGCAATTCATATAACTAATACCACACATGAACCATGGTGGTAACATATGGTATTGTACTGTATAATGGACATACCATCCATTACCACCATGGTAACATATGGTATTCTACTGTAAATATTAACTTACAAACCAAAAAACACTAGTGCAGGCTGAGAGAGCACTAAATCTGGTGAAAACATCGATGAAAGCTATGTTGCAATCAATCAAGATGCACTACAAAGCTCAAATTGATGAGCTTGTCAAACACAAGGAAAAGTTGGAGCAACAAATTTCTGATGACAACTTTGATGGTTGATAGACCGTCATTTACACATGTTTTTACCCCCGTTCTTACACCGTTTGAGGTGTTGATTCTCGTGTTTTAGGCCGATTTCACGCTAGGTTGTGCTTGTTTGTGATATTTCAGGTCCTAGTACGTGAATGAAGGCTTAGGAGCGAGTCTGGGGTCGATTGGACAAAGAACGGACGAGTGGCGAGGTTTTTGGGAGCTGCACGGGCATACCAGGGAGGCTGCACGGTCGTGCATGGTTGCAAGCTGGCCGTGCGCCTCATGCCGAGGAGCTGCACGGGCAGGCCCTGAAGATTGCACGGCCGTGCACCTGGCCGTGCAAGAAGCCTGAGTTCGACTTAAGGGATACGCTGCGTTTCAGGGTGCACGGCCAGAATGGTGAGGTGCACGGCCGTGCGCGCCTGCCCGTGCGGCCGGGGCTGCTTCAGCTGACGGTGATGATGGAACTGCTGGCGCTGCTGATGATGATGCGTTCATGACCGACATCGACCTCGACGATCTTGGCGACGAGTAGGCTGTACTCGTTGCCCGTCTCAGTGTGTTTGTTTTGTTTGTTTTTTTTTTTCTTTTTAGACTTTTGTGTGTTTGCTCCATGTGTGCGGAGCTTGAACTTGGTGTCGTTTATTTTTGTTTTGGTTTTTCATTTGTGGTTTGATGTAGCCTTCTGGGCTAACACTTATCCCTAACGCCAGTGTGCTAGTGTGTTTCTGATGTTCGATTTGTGCAGTATTGTCCACTCTCCCGTTCGTTTCTCGCTGACTGGTCCACTTCCAGTCCCCCAGCAGTGTTCTTACCCGGTAACATCGTTCCCCTTATCTTTCCCTCTGCTCCATTGAGGGCAATGTCGTTCTTAAGTGTGGGGGGATGCTTTGTATCGATTGGAATATTTATGATGGTGCTTGGAGCCTAGTCCGCTGTCCGAATCATACGATTTGAGGGCTCCAAGTACTGTTGTTTGATCATATTGGCACTGTGTTTTGATGGATGAATTGATTGGTTTTCGGATTAATGCATGACAACTTGTTTGCGACTAGGACAACCTATGATGAGGACTGAGATGTGCAGTAGAACGATGTAGGGGTTCAGTTTTTCAACTGTTTGCTTGCCAACTGTGACTTGATCTGACTTGATCTGATTACTTGTTCTTAACAGTCGTTTATGCATCTAGTTCAGGGTAGCAGAATATGAGATAGAGCATATAGGTAGCCATGTGAGATTTGAGCCTGCTCGTTTCTTTCTTGTGCGATAGATCCCTCTTCCATGATGTGTAGCATTCACGTTGTCACTAGCTGAGATGATGGGGGCATAGGATTAGCCCACGCCCAAAACTGACTGTCCTGATGTGTCATATCCCCTAGTCAGCCCCTTTGAGCCGTGTGTTATCCTTTCTTTTGGTCTATAATGAAAAGAAATCACCCTTGTTGCATCTTTTAG